CACACCGCCTGAATTAGTGTACTAAGTAGTTGCTTCCCGCTTCCTGCTTCAAGTCGAAGTCTTGTCTGAATTCAAGTCTACTGCCCACCCAGCACTATCGCAACAAAAGAGCTCGAAGAAATCGTGCCCTGGGATGTAGCTTCTGCTGCGTGTAAAGCGTTCCTTTGCAGTCTAAGCCATTCCCAAATTCTGATCAAAACGCACTCACCGAAAAATCCGGCGCCACACTTGAACCGCCAATCAGCGAGAAATCCCTCATAGGAGTAGGCATCCTGTGGTGATTTGCCCATTCCCACCAGTCCGATAAGACCAAGGCAATACCGAATGTTTTGCGGTCCAAGGCACGAGTAGAAGTTGGCGAATCCACTAAATGTGACCGGCTTAAGACAGATTACTAGAGAGCTGCCACACTAGAAGTGCTTTTTCAAAAGTGGTTTTGATTCGTGGATCCGTCATTATATCACATGCTTAAGGAACTATTTGAGCACGCTTTGATCAGGTGGCATTCATGAAGTTTTTGCCAAAATCCTGTATTCACAAAAACTCAGCAGCTTTATTAGTCTGAGGTTGAGCACTTTCCTCCAAACAAAACTGCCCTGAGGCAAATGTGGTCAGATGAACCCACATTTTCTGAGAAATAGATCCCAGTACAAGGAAATCATTTACTAGAAAACAGGAAGTGTCGCTGATTTGCAGAAAAAAGGACGTAGACAGGGTGCAGCATCGTGTTGTGTGAAATGGTCGTGTCAGTACGCCTCCCACCCGCAAGGGAGGGTCTCGGGATGACCCCCTCCCCTGCAACACCTACCTACCAATTTCCCAGTTTTTTCACCCAGAAATTTCCGTCTAGTGCCGGGGCAGTACATATATAGCATATGGCCACTGGGTGAAATTTTCTTAGATTTTCTCCCGAACTCATGCCACTTTTCCGGAATTTTTTCCCAAAAAATTTTATACTTCGCCCAAAAAATTTTGCTGTCGAGCGGGCAAACTTCTCTCAAAGCTCAACAGGGCAGATTTCTCCCAAAGCTACATACGACTACCCCCTCCCTCCCCAGTTGAAGTGTACGACCCCCCCCCCTCGGCGATTCACATAACGATGCTGTAGCCTGGACGTGGATCCATCCAAATAAGCTTCTTGCGGTGAAGAGCTAACAGCTGAATAGACTGGACTTTATATTTTTGCACTCTTATCTCTGTCAGGTACTCAGAGTATGCAAAAGAAAAGGTAGAGTTCTAGCTTCTTCCCACAAAAAAGCCTTGTTTTTTGTGATGAAGTATGATGAAAACGCCACAGCTATCAACCAGCAAAGGCTTGTCCCCTTCCAAATGCCTCACACTTCTCGAATTTCGCTTATTTTATCCACGAACTTATTCGATCTCAGGCTCACTTGCAGATATTCACGTAGTTATTGATACCATATGGTGGTCGCATGAGTGCAATCAGAGTCCTGTCGAGCTGACTAAGATCATTCCAAATGTTGGAGCTGCTGAAAAAGAGAAGCTCAATAAAATAACAGTCGAAATTAAGCACAGGGCTCATAGGATGACATCTGGAATCAGGAATTCATTGCAAATGTTGATGGTGATGGACTCTTCATCAGGGACAGTTAAGCTACACGTACACCGGAGAAAAAGCAAAGCAATATGGCAGTAGCAATAGGAACCTTGTATTTACCTGGCGCATCATCGTACGCATAAATAAATGAACAGAAAATATACCATTTTCACTTCAAATTCATCACTTTTCAAACTCTTCTTAGACCAGGCAGTTCGCCAACCAAATCACGCCAGACACCACCGCGAACCCTGCCCCGACGGTCACGCCTACTTGTCAGCGCGGACATAGATTTTCAACACATGACTGACTCCGCCCATTCTTTAAAGTTTGTTGCGAACTTCAAATCTTCACTTTTTCAATTTTTGAATTTCACATCCACTCTTCGCACAACGAAGGTACTTTAGCATTCATGCACCGGCAATTCAGGCTCCGCCCACTTCTCAAAAATGGTGCAAATCGGCATCATAGAGCCTTGGCTTGCATGCTAGGGTCTCGTCCGTCACTCGGAACAAATAAATCAGGCAAT